GAGAAGGGGGCTCATGATCATCGCTTGACAAAAATTATGTATGTAAAGAGGCTACTGAGATTTAGCTTCCATTCTTGCTATCTAAAAACACTAGTAAAGTTTTGTTAATACCAACAGCTAGTAGATGTCTAATAATTGCAGGTTTTCATTGTCAACATTTGTGTTAAACATCTGCACACTACTCACATCATCCTCCATAGTTACCTACCACTACTTGTAAAAAAATATATATGTTAAAAGAGGTGCATTATCTAATTTATTGTAAAAACAAGTGCTACAGGAGTCTATAAAAATATTGCTCAAGGCATGCATGCTTCACCTGCATTCATCTGAGCAAATTTCTCAGAGTGATTGCATATTCCTGACCTGCTTTGCAGAGCTTTATTGTAAACAACATACACCAAATTTATAGATAGGTTCTAGGGCTTATATGTACCAGAATAAATGCATTACATATATATGATGTAGGTGTAATATTTAGCCATGTAGAAAAAGGTTATTATTTTGTTGTGCACTTTGGGGTAAAGAATGCACAAGCTACTTACACCCTAAATAGGTAGGGAATTAGAGATCACACAACACGAAAAGGATTTGGGAATTTTTATAGAAACAAACAAGGCAACAATATGCAATGTCAATCAGCAGTTTATAAGACAAATAAGGTTTGTCATATATAAAAATAGGCATAGATTCTCAGGATGTTTATATAATTTTGTCTCTTTCTAAATCAATAGCAAGGCCACACCTTTAATATGCTGTGCAACAAATAATAGACAGGACAACTCTCCAGTATGTACTGTATTTTTTGCCTTCTTGCATATACACCACAGAGAAGATACAGACATCCTAAAGTGGGGATTATATAACTTTGCATTATAATGTAGAAGCTCCATTTTATGTGAGTGCATTTTCACTCCCTTCTTCCGAGTCTATGTAATCTGAACATACTACACTATGTAGTTTTCATTCTGTTTTTATTACATACCTCCTGGATCAATCGATCCACTGCACATCCTAAAGTGAGTATTGTACTACTCAAACAAACATACTAAGAGCTAACTGGTAGTTCTAAATATTGTAAGTTCATCTCTTCCCCATTTTTCTTCTCATATGACATATACACAATATATTCCTCCATTGCCCCCTTCTTGTTCCATATACAATCTGAAAACATTTCAAGGTGCTACTGCCATTTCCCATTACAAGTATCTTCTATTTTATTGGAACAGAGAGCCTCCTGAATGGGCTATTGAGCTGCCTCCCTTACTTCACGTGTACCATTTAAGAGCTAAACCTTCTTGTGTACCCTTATAAACAAGGAGAAACAGTGTGTCTTTGGTAGGCTCTGTTCAATCCAGAGCATCATAAATACATACCAAGGGGGCGTGGCCACAGACCGCATGGAAGCAGTCACATTGTGGGCCCTACAGCGAGGATATCAGCATAGATCGCAAAAATAAACAGCCCATCTTGCCACCCGAGACACCCAAACTACCATGGCGACTAAATCAGGCAAGAAAATGAAGCAAAAAACCATAGACTCACATCTAAGTGCGCAGCAGATAGCGGGCATACAGGACCAAGATGGCACCGGCGAACCGCGATCTCCCATGTCTGAATATGAAGTTGGAGACAGCCAGATTGAATTCCACAGCTCTAATATACTCCCAGCCACAGATGCCTAGGTAAGCAACATGTTAAATGACTTAAAAGCAGCACTGCGCACAGACTTCCAAAAAATAGCGGCAGACATAAGAGCTGACATCCAGGCCCTAGGGTACAGAACTTCCCATCTTGACAAGAAAACAGAGGGTATCATGGAAACTCATAATGACCTGGCAGATGCACATGAAACATTAGAAAACAAGGTCAGATATCTAGAAGGGAAGATAGCTGATAATGAAGACAGAGACCGGAGGAACAAAATTAGACTTCGCGGAATACCCGAAACTGTAGGGCCACAAGACCTAGCTCAATTTGCGCAGAAATTATTTAAAGCCCTACTCCCAACACTGGTAGCAGAAGATCTCCGCTTAGACAGAATAAACAGGTTGCCCAAGCCCAGGCACCTGCCGGCATCCACATCTAGAGATGTTATCTCCAGAATCCATTATTTTACAGTCAAAGACCAAATAATGCAGGCATCCAGATCCGACGCTACCCTCCCAGGACAATACGCAAACGTAAAACTTTTTATTGATTTGTCAGCGGCTACCATATACAAGAGACGGTCGTTTGCACCCATTACAACAGCTCCATGTAATGCTAACATCATATATAAATGGGGTTTCCCAGCCAAACTGATAATCAACAGAAATGGAGTAAACCGGCCGATCCTTTCACCAGAAGATGGACTAAAAATGCTAGAAGACTGGAACATACCGTTCCGAAGAACGACAAACAAAGATCAGGCACACCACCGCCACGAAAAATGGCGAAAGACTGGCAACAAGTGCCGTGGAACACAATGATTCCGCGGTCCCGCAGAAACTCCTGCACCACATCCTGCTACGACCACACCAGGACACGTAACATTTTTAACCACTATTTGTTTTATCGTTATTCTTTGTTAAATGTGTTATGCTGCTGCACTATTCTGATGCATGTCTCTACCAACAATGTGACTACAGCTAGAGGTCCACAGTCGATAACAAGTTAATGTTACATTTAATTTCTCTACACCTTATAAACTTACTACTGTAAATAAGTATACTTCAGAAATTTCCACCAACCCTCCACACGGCTTACAAGTTAAGCCTACGCATATCTGTTTGCAAACTGCTGCATTCAGCCCTAGGGGCTAATGGACAAGTGTACATAGTTTTGTCCCACCCTACCCCTCACCAACTGCCAATACCTGCAGTCAAGGTAACATATAGAAACATACGTAGCCTCAGCTATATACATCTTATACCAATTCCCATCACCCTCTTAAATTCTAACTAAAAGCTAGAATGACATTAAAGATCTTCAAGGGATTGAACTCACCTAATAAACGCAGACTAGCTCTGCAAGAGGCCAAAAGGCAAGGAGCGCAGGTGGCATACTTCCAGGAAACCCACTTTAAGTGGGGATCCAAACCCAAATTCAACTCCCCTTGGTTCCCAGTTGAACACACAACAAGACACTTCACCAGATTACGTCTGGCTAGCTCATAAGCAGTGATAAGAGGCAACTTCATAAAACATGCGAGCCTAGCCAAAAAAACATGCCAAGCACAATACCTACAAATACTTACAGACATAACCTCGCTCACTCATGAAAATAAACACTCACCATCGCCTACTAAACAAACCGTTCTACTTCAAGCACACGCAAAACTAAGAGATTTCGAACTAGCTAAAACAACATATCTATTACAAAAGGCTAAGCACAAATTCTTTGCCTATGGTAATAAAGCGGGTGCAAAATTGGCATCACAACTTAAACAAAGATCAGCCGCCTCCAGGATTGCCTTCCTAAACCACTGTAAAGGTCAAAAAATTATGGACCCGAAAAAAATAGTAAATTAATTTGCAGAATACTACCAGAAACTGTATGACCTTAGTGAAGGGGGAGAGGTAAAGGTTCCCACACACGAGGACATAAACAAATACTTAGCAGATGTCCACCTGCCGTCCCTGTCACCAGACAGAGAACATCAACTTAAGCAACCAATATCTCATGATGAGATAGCAAAAGCCATAGCAGACCTCCCCTCAAACAAATCCCCAGGACCTGATGGCTTACCAAATAGATATTACAAAGAGTTCTCCAAGCTCCTAATACCCCATCTCCTAAACTTATACCAACATAGTTTCGAAAAAGGTACATTACCAGCAGAGATGCTCTTAGCACATATCTCCACCTTACCCAAGCCTGGCAAGCCTCCCACGACATGCAAAAATTTCAGACCAATATCCCTCCTGAATATCGATGCCAAACTATATGCAAAAATAATCAGCAACCGACTTGCTCCCATGTTGGTCAGTTTGGTACATAACGACCAATCAGGGTCCGTCAGGGGACGTCAAGGCTCAGATAACACCCGCAAAGTCCTTGACATACTGGCCTCGCTGGAACGCAATTCAGTTGGAGGCCTTCTCCTTGCACTTGATGCAGAGAAGGCCTTCGACAGACTCAACTGGTCATATATGCAGCAGGTGCTCCTGAAATTTGGATTACCCCCTGAATTTATCAAAGGTATTATGGCACAATATGCGACACCAGCGGCCAAAGTCTCACACGGAGGATTTCTCTCTGATTTATTTCCTAGAACGAATGGGACTCAACAGGGCTGCCCCCTTTCCCCTTTGCTCTACATTCTATCCCTTGAACCCCTTGCCCAGAAAATACACACGCACCAGGACATACAAGGCATTACAGCCATGGGAAGGGAATACAAGTTGGTGTTATTAGCTGATGACATCCTAGTGACAATAGGAAACCCACAAGAATCAGTACCACACCTTATGGAGACACTGTCAAGGTTTGGCAACATATCACATTACCTCCTAAACCAGGACAAAACTCAGGTCCTGCCAATTAACCTCCCTCAAAATACTAAAACCTCCCTGAAGGAAAAATACGCTTTTGATTGGAGGGTGTCATTTATAACATACCTAGGTGTTAAAATCGCACCCTCGCTAGCCGAAGTAGTAAAAATCAACCACCACACCCTCCCGCAACAATGAACAAAGGAGGTTCATAAGTGGTCACAGACAAAGATCTCATGGCTCAGGAAAATTAATGCATTTAAGATGATGGTTCTACTGAAGTTACTGTATGTTTTTAGAATGCTTCCCATTCACATCCCACAAACACTCATCAAATCCCTACAAAATACATGCAGCAAGTTTATTTGGGGTAATAAAAGACCACGCATATCACACACAGTGTTACAGAAACACACAAAACAGGGAGGTGTTGGATTACCGAACATAGGCCTCTACTACAGAGTCTCAATCTTAACAGCAGGGATACTGATGCATGCCCCAGAGGGGATTATAAAATGGGTCGATATGGAGAAAGCTCAATTTCGAGAAAACACAGCACTAGACTACATGTGGACCCCAAGAAAACTTAGGTCACCCAAAGTTGATCTACTCCCCATCACAACACTTACACTCCAAATTTGGACAACCATCTTGGAGTCCCTAGGAAATGAGCACACGTTCCACACCAAAGCACTGGTAACAGCCTTAAAGGCTATCTCACCAGACATGCACATCCAGACCTGGTTACAGGCAGGAATTACACACATCCACCATCTACTCCAACCCTGTGGTTTGCTGCCATTCCCTGATATACAAAAGATATGGAAATTACCTGCCAGCGCCATATTCACATATCTACAAATAAAGGGCATCATCACCTCACATGTAAAACGACAACACTCCACTCCCAACCCAATATCCCTCCCAGCAAAAGCAATAATAGAACATTGTTGGGGTAACCCCATTAAGCCAAAGGCTATCTCCCTTTGCTATAAAGCATGGGAGGCCACCCTAACCCCTGTTACACCACACTGCAAAACACTATGGGAGAATGACTGCTCCATACAACTCACAAACGAGGATTGGATTCATGCACTCAATGACCTATCCAAATGGACACGTTGTTATACACACATAGAAGCACACAGAAAGCTGCTATACAGGTGGTACTTGACCCCAAACAAGCTCCACAAAATATACCCAAACACGTCCCCACTCTGTTGGAGATGCAATGCAGCAGAGGGTACACTGATACATATATGGTGGACATGTCCTACCATCCAACCCCTATGGAGGGATGTACAACACACGCTCCACGCCCTACAAGTGCCTGACATCTCAAAAACCCCAGAGATCTACTCATGCGTTTCCCACCACTATTCGACAAAGCACATAAACAACTAAGCGCAATCACCATACTAGCAGCCCACAACCTACTAGCTTTCAACTGGAAATCCACTCTATGCCCAAGTAGATCCCAGCTATGGGCCAAAATACAACAATTTTACACTTACGAATGTATGGCCTTATCCGACAACAAAGAGACACAAGTATTCCACACAACTTGGTCCCAGTGGGTCAGGTTAAGTGCAAATAAACAATAAAAATGTGACACTGTTATAGCCATAACCTCATACCCACATGTCCACCCTTGTCCGTATTGACTGCCGCACCACAACAAACGAATAAAGCACCAAAAAGAGCACATACCTTCCACACACAATTAAAAACCTGAAACCTTTACCTCCAAAGGCGGAGAGGATTGTAACCCACTGAAAAGCACTCTCACAGTCCTCTACCCCCTCTTAATCGATGGGATATCAAAAAATGTGTTACTGAACGTTTATTTCATAGCAGGTCCTATTATTGGGATCATATTCGTATTATATAACAAGCAATAGAGTGTATTAACCTGTCTGAGACGAATGTCACCGTACAACAACCATGTATCATATGTCATGTTACCTTGCTGAAATGCCTGTATTGCCTTCCCTTTTTCTTATGTTAAAATTCATTTCTCCTGTCAATGTCGAGATGTTATTGAATGCTAAAGACCAATAAAAACTATATTGAAAATAAATAGATACCAAGGCTGCAAGAGACAGGTGAAGAAGAATATTGTCCAAGAGGCACGGTTTGCAAGAGTAGAAGTAGAAGTCAGAGTAAAGCTAGTGGAATATTCATGTTGGGAGGAATTGCTGTTAGGAGTCTTCTCCAGTGATGCAGTGAAGGATCACAGAAGGACCATTGACCCTGCAACTGAGTTTCATAAATTTAAGAAGGCTGTGGGACATTTTTTAAGTTTTTGTAATATTGTATGAAAAGTTATGTATGCATTGACTTGAAGGAACTGACAAGGTGGAGGAAGAGGAATAAATGAAAGATTACAAAATGTTGTTTCTGTTAACATAGAATATGTTGAAATAGCCCAGGAGGAGCATGACATGTTAAGATGTAAGGATCATGAACTGAATTGATTATACAATCATTTTTTGCAGGATGGATTATCAGTAAAAGACCTGTTGCTCCATCACCTCAAGGGACCATCATGTTCTAAACATCAGCACATGGTAGACGCCAACACAAGTGCAGAAGGTGGCAAGAAAAACAAGAAATGCGGTCTCAATGCCCCCATCACTTACTACCTGGTTCCTATGGCCTGTAAGAGGAACACATTTCACATGAGTAGCCTGAAAAAATGGCATATATGAGACAGCTGGCTCAACAGGACTTTCCAAAACAGTACAATTTTGAGAATATGTATGAGAGACCTAGGAAATCTTGATCAGCAGTTTACTCACCATCCACATCCTTGCCCAAATGCTTTTCTGACCTCCATGGAGATTCTCACCTGATTGGCCAGCAAGGTCACCCTGCAGGCTTCAGCAGATTACTGACCTCTCCAGCAGATTACTTCTGCTCTTCATGTAATTCAAACACAAAGTATCTACTGTTCCAAGTAAAACCTGTTTTTTTATTTTTTGTTTTCTAAGCAGCAAATATGTTTTTTGTTTTATTTTGTATTATTTCATTTTTAATAAATATGTATTTTTCAAAATGAAATAGACTATTTAAAAAAATTATATATCGTTTAATATGCAAGTGTATACAAGAGGTATATTTCTTGAGGTCAGTTTAGACATTTGAACATCCAGTATAAAAACTATTGTGCCAGACATATGCTCCATTTACGCATAGTGAAATAAGTGGTACAGATCAAATCTGTGATTACCATAAATATTTTTTTTTTTTAAATGGTAAATTATTGCATTAAAGAAGATACATTCCTGTAATGAGTGCGTAGAAATACGCATATGCAGACAATTTGTCTTATTAGTATTACTATTAATAGTGATTTAGAAACATAGAAACATAGAATGTAACGGCAGATAAGAACCATTCGGCCCATCTAGTCTGCCCAAAATTTCTTGCATTTAATAACATATTTTTTTTTTATCAACCTTGTATACCTTGTATAGTTACTATGAAATCATTCTACAGTGTCATGGCTCATGCCAATGTTAAATATAGCTATTTCATTATGTCCATTTAGCGTATCGTATAGCCATAACCCATTTAATTGATGCTATAAATTCCACCTTAAAACATTTAAATATTGCCTCTTGCTCTCAATGGGATCAACACAATTACTTCATATAATGATGTATACATGTATATCTCTTATATTTCATAAGATTCAGCACTATATAACAGTGATATGACAGTGCTACATCAAGTAGAACAGTGCTATATCAAGTAAAACAGTGATATGAGCTTTAGTCGTGAGGTAAGATTCGTTACTACGGAAAGAACAGGCTGGGTTACTGTATATTGACTTCCAATCTGCTATATATGCACATGTAAGGTGAAATAAACATCAAAAAACATAACATGTATACTATATGTACTGAACATTGATTTTGCACTAGGCCTTGCACATTTGTGTGTTATGATTCTTAAATTTTGAGTTTAATGTCTGTTATAAGAATTGTTCATTTGAATGACACATGTATTTTGTTTACATAATGAGTAGTTGTTTTTTTTTTTTTAACTCATGTACATGGCCATTTGCTTACTCTTTGTTGATGGTTGATATGCATTGAGATGTGCTTAAATTTCATGGCTTATACATAACCAATATGCTTTTTTTCTGTAGGATATATGGAGTGTTTGGATTTCTTAAGGTTTTCTCTTTATACCAAGGCAGGCTTTAATTTTGATGAGATAGCGACAACTGGTCAAATTTACCAATATCATGGAAATAAATTGGTAAGTAGCTCTTGACATTCTCTGGTATTCCCTATGGGAGATGATAAATCTCTAGCTAGCTGGGAATGGTACGATTTAGTAATATGATAACAGCTGCTACTAGCTAATGTTCGCGACACCCATTGTAGTGATTAGCAGTTTGTTGGTAACACTTAACAACATTGGAAACATGCCTCAAGTGTTGTATTATAGAAACTGCTGCAGTGGTTAATGATAGTGACAGCCATTTTTAGCAATTACTGGATTGTCGCTGAATGATTACAACAAGCATGGAATGGAGTACCTAGAGTTTATTCTATTAGATGTATATTTCACCTGACATTTTGCAAGTCAGTTGCAGAGTCATTGCAACTTGACCTTCAATGAATAAAGTACACAGTATTATATAATATATAAATATATAATGTCAATATCATCAACTTTCTGAATCTTTAAATTATAACATTAAAAATGTAATGTTGTTTCATCATTCGGCTACGATATTTGTATGTAAAAATGGCAAACGTGTTTTTAACTAAATGTTATGGAGGGATATAATGTTAAAATTTATCCTGTGTAATATTTTGTTTTTATAGAAGTGGACACATACATATCTAATTTTTTATTTCAATTTAGATATAGGCTACTTTAAATGTATGCTTGGGGAAGGCCAAAAAAGACGGGATTATAAAAGCTCGATATCTGACACTGCATGCTTCCTTTTCTATCCATCTGGCAAGCAAGTGATTGAACTTGTGTGCCTGTGCATGCTTACTTGGATATTTGTGGCCCAGCAGCATAATTCTAGTGATCATCATAGATAAATAATTATAGGATTGCTCTTATGATGTGCTAATACACAGCTTAATGTATACCGCTGTATTTATCTGAATGTAAAATACAGAAATAGTTATTATTCATTTATCCAGCATGCAAGGCAATCCAGCGTGTTTTAGTCAATATGTATTGATATTCAGCCTGCAATGGCCCATTTATATAAAAAAAAAAAAGATGTATTGCTATAATAGTGAAGGTTTAACATAAACTGTACTGAACTCAGTTTGATATATGGCATTTAAAATGTATTTGTACACATATTTATGTCTGCATTAATTCTAAGCTAAATTGTCCAACTGACTCACAAACTTTATTTTGGAGTAAATAAGCAAGCTGAGGCCGAGTCGATATAGAGGTGCACCGAATTGATAAGCCAGGTTATGTAAGGGATACAAGAGAGCAGGAAGGTTAAAAATAAGCCAAATTCAATACCTGAACAACAAAGGACAATCTACTGGGATAACAGATGGAACCACAGTAGGATGATGTGCTCAAGTGTCATTCCAATGTGCCAAGAACAAAAGTTTGCAGAGGAGCCGGAATTCCTTAAAATTGTCAACATCAGAAATATGCCCCACAGATGCCACTGAATAAAAGACGTGTTATGACTGTACCCTATATTAGATTGAAAGCCTAAATGATGCATGGACTTTGATGGGCTTAAT